GAGGTGTTGCCAAAACTTCCACCAATACTGTTGGATTTGTTGGGGATAAGGCAGGCGAAGGCATGGTTTACTTGCTCAAGAACTGTCCTTACGTTCGCTGTTTGAATAAGTTGATTCAAAAGGGTTACTCATTCTTTTGGGGACCTGAACACGAACCCACACTCGTTCCCCCTGATGTTCCATTCAATGTGTCATGTGAGACTTCCAGATGCTTTACTGCTGACAGGGTTGAACACTGTGTTCCCATCTTCAAAGAAACAATTTCATTTACCTATGGGATGCCAGCGGAAACTGTTGAGGCTTCTCCCGTCGACCCGCGCTTGCGCGAAGACGGAACCGAAGACCAGCGCTTGCGCGGATCGGATCCCATTTTGGTTGAAGACGTTGCGGAGGAAGCCCCCTCGCTTGACGAAATGCGTAAAGAAATGTAAAGAACTAGAAGATTTTGCTGCAATGAGTTATGTTTCACCAGGGCCCCAAGAGACTAGCTCAGTTGATCCCAAGGATCTCCCAGCTTCTGTTCCCCCTCCGGATGAACCCGATGTTGAACCCAAGGTTTTAACTTCGTATGCCAAATTACCAGTTGACCATTTACTGACCCATCAACCTGCTTCCAAGTTTTGTGATGTTTGTAGGCAAGCCAAGTTGCGAGCCCGCGCTCACAAACGTTTTGGGAATCAACCTGAATCTACCCGTGAAGCCCGAGTGATTGAATCTCCCACTGAATTCCTTCAGCGTATTTGTGTGGACCATATGGAATCAACAGAAGAGAGCCTTTCAGGGGATTCTTATGCCCTTATTTGTGTAGACAAGTTTAGTGGAGTTATAGGTGCATACCCAGCCAAGTCAAAGGGACAGGCCGCAGTTGAGCAGGGTTTGCGTCATTTTTGCCGAGAGAAACTGCCAGTGGTCGAGTCCGACCGCTATCAGAGCATCTTAGCCGCGGTTCGAGACTTGAAGATGCATTCGGACCCTTCTCCACCAAACGATCCAATACACAATTCCCATGTAGAGTCTGCAATCAATATTGTTAGGCAGGGAACTAGGTCTCTTTTGCTTCAGAGTGGTCTTCATGTTGGCCATTGGCCGTCTGCTATGCGCTGTTTTGGATACCAATACAATATCACTACCCCTCCAATGATTGACAGTGATTCCATGCGTCATGCTGCACATCAATATCGTCATGCGTTGCCCGAAGGAGAGGGGGGTCCCATAGCACCAATGCCCCAGTATGAGAGTAAGCTTCATATGGCCTTACAGTACCAACCTGAACCTAGAGCAATTCCTTATGGAGCCTTGGTTTGGTATCTTGGTAAGTCGCGCGAACCCACCGCGCCGAAGACTTTTGGTCCCAATGGGCGGCCAGCTCTCTACATTGGTCCGGAGATCCTTCCAGGGTTACGTTGCAAAGACATACATGTGCTGCTTGATTTGCAAGAGTTGACATCACACGACCATGTTCGGGAGATACGCACCAGAGATTTTGTACCTCCAGCTGGTCCCTGGGCATTTCCCTTTTCCAAAATTCCCATGTTGCAATCATTACACGTTCAACCCAAAATCCGAACCACCGAGGCCGTTCATTCCCCTATTGAGGTTTCAGATGAATTGTTGGAAGATGTACCCCGCAACCGTTCTATCACCAAACGCCGCATTTCTCAATATGGCATCACTGACAATTGTAACGGTTGTATCAATGGTACTTATTCCCACACTCCTGAGTGTCGAGCAAGGTTTAACCGTTTGTTGGACAATTCTGAACCCAGGGGTTTGGCTTCCGGGGGGATCGACGTTGATGTTGCGCATGGGAAACTTCATGATGAACCAATTCAACCAGCCACCATTGACTATGAAGAAGATGTTCCAGAGTGCCCTCCAAGAACACCTGAAGAGCTGCCAATTGGAAACCCTCATGAAACGGAACTTGATCCCGGTGAGTATACCCCAGGGAGTCTGGCTTCAACCCCCGAATCCTTTTGGGATGACGAAGTTCAAGGGATTGTTGAAGGGGATCTTGCAGAGTTAGTTGCGGGGGGTGTTGGTAAAGCAGTTAAAGATGTTGGCAAGATGGGTTTGCTGATTGAATTCTGCTGCTCGGAGAACAGTGCCTTGTGCAGAGTCGCAGAGCACTTGGGTGTTCCTTACTTTGGGGTAACACGGGAATCTTTAAACATTAATGACAATGATGCGTTCGAACAGTTTTTGTTGTGGCTTCAGGATGAGGTGCAGGTGAGAGAAGGTCCTGTTCATCTTTGGGCATCCTTACCATGTACAAAATGGAGTCCATGGCAAAGAATGGCAATCCATAAACACGGGAAGGAGCATGAACAAAGGTTGGAAGAACAACGGGATATCTCAAGGGATATGGTGTTGAAGTTCAAGCAAGCAGCTGACCTTGTGAAGCGTTCCAGGGGCAGTTCTGCCACTTTTGAATGGAGTCGAGATTCAACAGGTTGGGATGACCCAATTGTTCAACAGACAATGGAAGCCTTAGAGTTGTCTCCTGTCAACGTTGATGGTTGTGCCTAGATTGATGGCAAGTTCCCACAAAGACCATGGTTGATTCAGACGGACAATCCACGACTCGTCAAAGAGCTTAGCACCAAGAAATGCATTCACCCCAAGGGTTTCCATGATCCCCTCGAAGGTTCTTTGACCAACAAATCTGGATTCTACAATGTGACTATGGCTACATGCATTGTTACAACTTTGTTTCCAGGTGTCTATGTAGACCGTGTTCCCGCAATGCCCGTGAGACCATTTTGTTCACATGAACATTGGGATAAGAGCGCATTAGATCCACTTCCACCAGTTTCTGTTTTGGCTACCATTCACAAGCTTTTGACCCGCAAAGAGATGCTGGCCGACCCCCAAGCTGTAGACGCAGTTAGGAATGAGGCTGAGAGCATGCGTGCCATGCAAGTTTGGGATGACGATAGCGTCATGGAAAAGTCAGATAGGATTGGTGAAGCGCGTTCTAGAAACCAGACCATCCATATGGCTGACCTGATGTCAATCTGCAGCATCAAATTTTGGGAAACACCCTCAAAACGCAAACACAAGGGACGCGTAGTGTTCCGCGGAGACAACGTGAGAGATAACTGGGGTGGTGCAGCACAGTTTGGTAATTTGTATTCCACACCGACCAATATACAGGCCATCAATATTGCGATTTATTTCGGCATGTTGACTGGTAATGTAATCAGAGTCGCTGATGCATACAAAGCATACCTGCAAGCTATGCTGCTGGCTGATGCTGACACCTTTGTCACCTTACCCCCAGAACTGTGGAAAGACAGTTGGCATGGGCGCTACAAGCAGCCCACAGTACGGTTGCTTCGAGCGTTGTACGGGCACCCTCGTGCAGGGGCGTTTTGGGATTTGCACCTTAGGCAGCTGTTGCAGGGGGATATGGGTCTGGTTCCTGTTGACGGTCATCCTTCGGTATATTTCCATGCAACTTGGCATTTATTAGTTGTGGTCTATGTGGACGACATCTTAGCCGCTGGTCCCTTGGAGTCCCAAAATCAGTTTTGGGCTGCCCTTCAGACTCAAGTGCAACTGGATGACGTTGAGGAGTTGTCCCAGTTCCTTGGTCCGTTCCATCATCTGGAATCGGGTGACTGCCGCTTGGATATGATTGACTACTGTAAGGAAGCCGTTAGTTTGTACTTGGATGTAGCTGGGCCAAAAATCAATTTGAGAAAAGTTTCCACCCCATATGTATCCGAAGGGATTTTAAACCAACAGGACTACGAGGTTACAGGTGAAATTGCTATGAAGGCATCAAGTGTACTTATGAAGCTGTTGTGGGTTTGTAGGTTGTGTCGTCCTGATCTCGCCTTTTGCATTTCGATGCTGGCTGGACAGGTAAGCAAATGGAATCGCAATTGCGAAACAATTGTTCAGACTTGTGTCGTACTTGAATTCAACGCTCAACCTTTGCATGCACATCAAAGTATATGATGCCCCTGAAGCTTGTACACTTGACCTGTACGCGGATGCAGACCTGGGAGGATGTCCATACACTGCACGCTCAACCTCAGGACTATTTCTCGTAATCCAGGGTCCGGGGGGTACTTTCGCACCAATCACATGGTACTCACGTAAACAATCTTTGGTGGCTAGGAGCACTGCAGACGCTGAAACGCATTCACTAGC